TCTTCGTAAAACAATCAAACAAATTTCACTTGCAGTACCTCCAATTCATGAATTCGAGTCTACGGCTGTAAAACCAAAAAGAGATTTAAACTCTCAATAAATTACAATAAAAACAAAGTTTAAGGTAAGGAACATAAAGAAATATTTATTCCATAATATAGTGAGTCAATTCTAGCGATTTTGTATTACACTTAGTTTTAAATTGTCTTGACAATAAAATAAACTGATTCGCTTATCAGTATGTCCTGCTGGTCCTTGGAAAGTCAGCGCAACCAGATAGGGAAGATAAGAAGAAAGGACGAAATGTGGAGATAACGAGCGGTGAGAGCGAGCAAACGCGAGAACTTTTGCACGAGGGAACCACCACCTTATACGGCGGCGACCCGGGCGTCTAAATATAAAGGCGCCCGTCGTCCCGACACTCCTCTCTGTTCGAGCGGGCATGCATTTCGCCGCGAATCTCTTCTCTCTTGCTAGATGCGCGAGCCACGATCACCGATCAGAAATCCTTGGAATTTCCCTAATATCTTTTTAAGTTAGCGAAACTAATTTATTCTGCAATGTAATTTTCCTCATCGTAAATGAATGTAGTATTTCATGTAATTGGATTACATATTCTTATACATGTTATGTAATTTTAGAGACGACAGATATATTAAATTGATCATTCATATACATATTTCAGTTGTTGACAATTTTATTGGATTGAGAAAGATGGTATGTTTATCTTCTGTTGAGCGGAATATTTAAATAGGATTTTCATCTGCAAAGTTCAATTGATGATGTTAGCCTATATAGCCAATAAATTATTGGAACCAGATTTGTATTTCTTCATTCGCGAATAATGTTTATTTGATGTAACATTATTTTTATTGGCATAACATCAATGCATTGGATATTTCTCCTTCGACGAAGGCCAGGATAACTCACTTACCTACATCTGTCCATCCCCATAGCATAAGTTATATGACCTATATCATAGAATCTATATTCTACATCTACCAAGAATAATAATCATTCTAAAAAGAAGTTTTCTATCAAAAGAATTTGACTGATTCTGATGTCCATGACGACCTTGTCCTCGTATCACGCATGTATTTCGGGTAACCTACGACTGCGACGCTTATTATTGGCTCGTGTTAACTAACTAACCGGCGATCTTCGATGAACCTTCGCATTATAATTTTCACCGCAAAGACACAGACGCGAAACTCCTCAACTATTAATAAACTTCAACCTTTGCGTTATTCTAACTGATTTCCGGATTCGATCTTCTTTTTGAAGGCTCCGCCTATCGTTCTAACGCGTTCGCGTGATGATGAAACACAGCGGCCAGAAAAATGGTCGATGACGAACGGTGTGGAATAAATAAAAATGTATGACGGGGAGAGGGTATGTGACGACGAACGAGAAGAAAACAAGATGACGCGAGAGAGCTAGGTCGAAACGTTTGCAGGATCTTCGTGCACAAGTAGTCAATGTCTTAGCGGTCTGTCGGCCAGGCAGACCCTGCAAACCCGAGAAAACCGGGCCGACCAGAGGTATTTTTAAAACTGCCACTCTACGGTATCCTCGGATTGTACGAGATAAAGATTCGGTGATTCAGTGGCTCTTGCGATCACGCTCTTCCATTGGAAATGAATTAAACTGTCTTTTTACAGATCATTGCTAACTTGGTATAAGCAAGTTATTTTACTAAAATCTTCTTGCTCAAGGACTTGAACCTTTGATTTTCATTTTCCTTCTTTTTAGGTTTATGATAAACCAATACAATTATTTGCGCAATTTGATCCATGCTAAAGAATGTACAGGGGGTGAATCAGTTATAATATGAAATTGCTTTCTTATATTTTACTCTACAGCTTTAGAAAACGAATTCTCCTTTAAGAAACTATGTGAATATACCACATGTCTTATGCTAAGTGTATAGAAAGATTCTTTTGGTCAAATTAGTAAATAATTGTTTATCTTAAATAGTAGTTTACTTATTGATTTATGCTTCATATAAAAATGCTTCATAGACCTTGTAATGAAAATCATGTAATTAATAGTAGATTTCTGATTAGACACAGTCAGGGTATATTACGAAAGGATTCGTTCCAAAGGGTAAGGGATTGATTGACTTCGCAGACGGAAATCAGGCGGGAAAAAAAAGATGAAGATGATGGCTCGCGTGGTTTGGCTGTGGGGTGAGAAGTAGAGGGGCGTCTTCGGGGTTTGGCGGTAGTGACAATGCCAGTTCCTCGCGAGCGAGTTCGAGTCGAAGACGACTATCGAGTGAGACGAGCTGCCAGCCCTGGCTCATCGTGTAGTGCCTAGTGAAACGAGATGACGGGCTCGCGGCTGCGACCCGCGTACTTCGTGGGCCTCTTCCTGGCCCTTCTAGCCATCGCCTTACAGGGTGAGTCCCGACCCCAGATCCTTACCTCCCCAAAAACCAGATTTTACCCCACCTTTGCCTTATTCATTCTTTTTCTGTTTGGAGATTCATCAGAACAAATTGCTTTTAATTATTTCTGCCATTTAGATATGAAATGGTCCTTTGGATTTTTATTTCCACTTCGTAACATCTAATTTAATGATTGCAATTATAATAATTTTTTAAAGCATAGTATTTATTTCTTAAAACATTCGTTTTATTTACCCATTTCTGTTTTGATTGGAAGTTTTCAGATATTATTACCTCAGATTTAGAAGATAATTCAGTTTTCTCTTTATCGTTTATCCTGTAAAAATTGAAATTCAGGGGTTTTTTAAGGCAAGATTAATAATTCCCAATCTCGATTGCAATCCTAGACCTGCGCCGACATCATCATTTGTTTCCGCGTTATTTTTAACGGGCCGTCACGCGACGCTTTTTTAGAATGCACCTGCTCGACGCGACGTCGTTCAATTATATAAAGCGAGGAGCAATGTCTTGCATGCGTACGCAACGTACGTGATTCACGATAGATATCTTTCGGCAGAGGTAATCGTTATTGTTACCAGCTGAAGATCGGTAACCGGAGTCAATTTTTCAATCCGTTTATCGCGCGACGTCAGCGGTCGTCGGATTTCTAGAAGTTTTCGTCCGGACGATGATGTTGGATGACGCGCTGACGAACGTGTGACGATTGATGAAGGTCAATGTTACGTAAAGTCACCGGTCTGCGTCATCGGTTCCTGGCTCGTCGAGCCTCTTCTACATCGAGCAGACGCGCGCCCGATCGAAACCGATGAACCTGCGATCCGTCCGTTGCATCATAGCCAATTTCTCTTGTCGATACACTCTCTTGTTCACGGTCGAATATTTCTTCCGTTCGACAGCACGTGTAGTTCGCGTTCTCTTCCGATTCATCATTCTACTGCATTCCGTACGCTATATCGAGAGTTTGGAAAATTTCCCTATAACGTAGCGTTTCCCCAACATCCTATTTTTGATGTTTAATCTCACGAACCGATATGACAATTATTCGTGATCTTTTTTTGTTCATACAATGATCATTTTTTTATTTGATGGATTGGACGTTTTATTCTTCAAATAATAACTCAACTTCTTTCACGTCGTTTGATATCACAATTTAATAAAAATGTAAGATACAACGATCGACCACTTAAAAATTATTTGATTATGCGGTTTGAATGTGCGGTTATAGGCGGTAAACAGTGTTTCAGATTTCAGTTCGGTTAACGAAGCGAAATGGGACAGCGATCGAGTAAAAGGTTTTGATCGCGGATTCAAGGATTTGTTATTTTGGGAATCGATGGAAGTCGACTGTCAACAACTTGCAAATAATTACATAAGGAGAGACATAAATCCGTGCCAGATTCGTTCTACATTCTATAAACCTGAACGTGAATTCCGTTTAAAGCGATACTTGATTTCAACTCCTGGCTGATAAAAAATGATAAGAGACATCACAGTTGGTCTTCACTAATATTTATAAATCACAAATTCATAATTAAATACAAATACTTTAAAACTAAAAATTGATTATTTTACAATTTGATAAAAAAAATATTATAGTGATATACTGTCGTCCATATTTCTAATAGTGTACAATTAGTAGAAATGAATTACAAACGTATTTGTTAGTTCGGGTTTCATTTTAAATCCAACTGCAACTGAGACAGGAAAATTAAGGGAAAAATTAGTACGACTGATGAAGCAGGTAATGTCTGAATACCCTTCAGCAAAATAAAGACGAACAAATGATACCATTTACCGAGATTACCATTAGACAAACGAATGATAATAAATTCTTTTGATAAATCATTCGTACACGCAGTTGGACATTATTAATAAACGTACGAGAACCGTCATACATTTTTGAACGATTCTAACTTTTAAAGCAAAAAGATTAAAGACTATACATGCCACAGAGCACGGAACAAGACTCGAGATTCTATCTTTATCCTTGGTGGTTATGCTTGCCAAACGACAGCTGCTTACCTCTACTTCCATTACCCGTATCTTGACATTTTCACGGATTATTTTGCAACAAGTATAATTTCAAGATATATCGCCATCTTACAGATTACCGCGTTCTAAAATTAATATTTTTCATGTAAATCAGTAATAACTATTCTTTGATCATAATTCACTACCACGTTCGCTCTCATTACGCTTTACAAAGGAACCACCCAAAAGAACATTGCAGTTTATTTTAAAATGACAAGGTGGGGGTAAAAGATTGGAAAATCAAAAAGTATCTAGAGCTCTGCAAGCCAATAGATCTTTTCGAAGACGCCGGTTGACATCACAGAAGACAAAAGGATCGAGCAGTAAAATGATAAAATCTCGTGCCAAAAGTACCAGCACGTGTGATGTAACGACGAAAATTTACGGCCGGTACATGCACTTCGTATTTTCTTCTCGTTTGTACCTATAGACCAATTAAATTTCACTTCGAAAATTGCGTCACAGCCGACGAACAGGAAATCTGATCTTATGCGAATTCTTTGGAAAATCTCGAATATACTTGAATATCTTCTATTAATTTCTATCCTCCAGTCTGTTGTTTACGCGATTGACGCAAATGTACGGTATTATACCGCTGCTACATGCTAGACTACTTTCGGAACTGACGTTCATACAGGAAACTCGTGAATATATTTCACCCCTTAACTGAGTTGTCAATGTTCTATATTGTTTCCATTATTCCGAATTCTCATTCATAAGAGTTCGAAGAATGGTAATTTATCATATGGAATCTCGGTCAAAGCCGATTTCAACTCTTTCGCATCGAATAACGATAAAAATACGTTTCGCTCATCCAATATATAAATATTTTCAAGTGTTGCTCGGCTCGAAGCCGCCTACTCGCCGCTAAAGTTAGAAACCGGCCTCCTGGTCCCAGGTACTGCTTAGAAAGATGATATCGACATTTTCATCGACCGAGTACGTTTCACGTACGCTACGTGACACAAAATTCTACATTCTAATGTAAACAATCGAGCGCATTCATGAATAATTTACATTAGAAATCGGAAAAACATAGTTAGAGCAAAATTAAAGATTCAATGCCTGCTCAAGTTTAGGTATAGAGAATTTTTATTCTATCTGTGATTAAGTTTTTCATGTGAACCTGTTAGTTAGGCCAGGTGATATTGATCGTTCATAACTCAATTGAAAATATAAGAATTCTTTTTGTGGCTATGATATTGTTCTTAATATGCAACTGTTAGTTGAATTAGATTAGATTCATTGGCTAGCTGAGTTCATAATATGCAAAAATTATCATTGTGTCTATAACAGAGAATTCTCAATAACCGATTGACTAGTTCTTGAAGAACGCCTATTTTTTACTAGCCGCTTAAGCCTCGGTCAGGCATGATTGTTGTCTCCGAACACCTGTCATTGTCCGACCACGCGCTCGACCCGAGCTACTGCGTGTAACGACTTTGACAAGATATTGCGTCACCCGGGTCAGATATTTTCGGTGGTCGCGTGGCGTTAAACCCTCTTCTGCTAAGCTCCGTGCTGGGTTATCTAATACTCCGCGGCTTCTTCTTTTGGCACCGCGTGTTTAGCATAGCGGGAACCCGCGAACAAAATTCCTGGCAGCCGAAGAGTCGGCGTACGAGTCAAGCCAATCGCGGAATCTTTACAAAACTACGAGACCGGAATACCCGTTAATTGTTCTTTAGCATTATCACGTTCCACGGGCAACTATTAATTTTTCTGATAATAAATCCTTGAAACCGATCAATGCTAATTGATCTGGTGATAAAGTTAATGAATCTGAGGCTAAAATTATGTTTCAGGAGTGCAAAGCGAAGAAGAGCTAGAGGTGCCATCGGAGGATCTGTGCCGGCCGTATATTGAGAAGGCGTTGAAAGATCTCGGTACAGGTAATGTCAAACTGGCGACGAATATTCAGCCGGAGCGTAGCGATTTCTAGAATGTTTCGTTTGAAGGATCTTTGGAGCAGACCAGTGCCGAGGCAGGGACCGACGCAGATAAAGAGAGCCAAGAGGAAGATGTGAAAGATGCAAGCGAAGAAGTAAGCATAATTGGTCCATGTCTTTTATTTTTTGTTTCTTATGCATTAAATTGTAGGAAGGGGAGCCAGCGACCGATGCCTCGAAGGAAGATATAGAGACTGAAGAGGAAAAGCCGGCGGAAGCCGATGATGCAGAGAGCGCCGAACAGGCTGAGGAGGCTAAGACATCGGAAGGGGCTGAGCAAGGAGAAGAACAAAGTGCCGAAGCCGAAGGAGGTACGATTAACTCGTTAAACTAATCTAAAAACAAGTCTAAATCTACTCTGAATCTTCTAGGAGAAAGCGAACAGCCGGAAGAAAAATCAGAAGAAGCGGACAAAGGAACAGAAGAAGATAAAGAGTCCGTAGAACAGACAGAAGAGGGGGCTGCGGATTCCGAGCAGGAGGAAGCAGAAAAATCTGGTGAAGACGCGCAAATAGAGGAAGGAAAGTCTGAAGAGGAATCGCAAGATGCTGGAAAATCCGAGGAGGAGACAGAGACTGATAAATCTGGTGAGGAAGCGGAAGCTGGAAAATCTGGCGAGGAAGCAGATGCTGGAAAATCTGACGACGAGGCAGAGGCTGACGATGGAACATCCGACGAAACGCAAGCCGAGGGAGATTCGGCTGAGCAAGCGAAAACCGACGAGGAAAAATCCGACGAAGAAGCCAAGACGGAAGAGGTGAAGTCCGAGGAGGCTGAAAGTGAAACAATCGATTCGAAACCGGAAGAAGAGACCGATGAGGTGACAGAAGCTGCTTCTAAGGAAGAAGAAGAAGAAAAAGAGGCTAGCAAGGACGAGGAGGATGGCCCATCTGAAGACCAAACGGAGGAGGCAAAGGAAAGTAAAGAAGATCAAGGCGAGAGCGAGGAAGCTCAAGTGACAGAAGAAGCCAAGGAAAGTGAAGAAACCACGAAAGGTGAATCGAAGGAAGAGACAAAATCCGCGGAAGACGAGGAAAAATCCGCGGAGAAAGGGACCGAGGAGGAGAAAGAAGACGAAGAGGAGGGTAAATCAACAGAAGAGGGAGAAAAATCAGTAGAAGAGGGCAAATCAGAAGAAGAAGCTGTGAATCCGAAATCTCGTACCAGAAGAGAAGTTAGCGAAGAAGGTGCTGGTGAGGGTGAAGGTGAAGATGAAGGGTCAGATGAACCAGGCCAGAGCGAGGAAGAGGAACCTACCCCCGAGGAAGACTTGATCCAAGAAATAGTGGTTCCAGAGAATTTACGGCCACGGGATCACATTAACCACTTGTTGAAGCTAGACGAGGAAAATGAAGAGAAGGAACGGGCTATTGAGAAGATCGCAGATGTTATATTGAAGGAGCTGAAGAGGGTTTATGACAATGCTATCCAGCCGTTGGAATCTCTGTATAAATATAGAGACCTCAGCAATAGGCATTTTGGTGGTACGTATGAAAGAAATTTAGATAATCGATAAAATATTTAAAACCGGAGACTGTTTATTATTTCAGATCCCGAGATATTCTCCAAGCCGCTAGTTCTTTTCATGGGTCCGTGGAGCGGTGGGAAATCTTCCATCATAAACTACTTGCTTGACATGGAGTACAAGCAGACATCGTTGAGAACAGGTGCGTAAGTAACGATAAAACAGAGATATAGTGAGAATTTGTTGTGCGATGATGCTTCGATTACCTCACGTATTGACGCTTAACCAAAAGCCGCATTCTATTACAAAAACGTGAGGAAACAAAAAAATAAAAGAACAAATGCTGTAAAAGATTTAGTGGTAGTGGCATGCTAGGAGCATGAATGTACAGATAGTGTTTAGGTGGTTTGAGAGAATGCTTTGAGGAGCAATGCAAAACGCCAAATGGAAATGACACAGGAGCCGAGCCATCACCTGCCTACTTCAATATTATAATGCACGGTGAGGAAGAGGAGATACTCGATGGTACGCAGCTAGCTGCCGATTGGACTTTCTCCGGACTGCAAAAATTCGGCCAGGGAATGCTCGATCGTCTCAAGGGCTTACGACAACCCAATAAGTTGTTAGAAAAAGTAAGTGGACAATGTCCATCAACGTAATTCGTTTGATAAAACTGATCAAATTAATAATATAGGAGTAAACAACACGATGCAATGTGATTCGAGTGATTTGTATCTCATCAGGTGAATATCGTCGAGATACCAGGAATTTTAGAAATTCGAAAACAGGTCCAACGTTTATTCCCGTTCAACGACGCGTGTCAGTGGTTCATCGATCGCGCGGATATAATATTCCTGGTGTACGATCCATCCAAATTAGACGTTGGACCAGAAACGGAAGCGATTCTTGATCAATTGAAAGGAAGGGAGCACCAGGTAAGCTTCGTAAACGAGTTTCAAACTTGTCGGCATAAATGTAATGAGAACTTCCGGACACAGACACGGATCATTCTTAACAAAGCTGATCAAGTAAAACCAGAAGAGCTAATGAGAGTGCAAGGCGCTCTGATTTGGAACATATCCCCGCTAATGTCCAGCGCCGAGCCACCGATCATGTACTCCACATCGTTATGGTCGTTACCGTACGAGGCTGGTGCACCGACCAGGCTACTGTATGCCCAAGAACGTGCATTCCTACGCGACTTGCGTACTGCCATCGACAAACGAGTCGAGCATAAGATAGCGAGCGCCAGAAGATTCGCCGTAAGCCTTTCTGTTTCATTATATCTAGATTTCGGATTTTTATGTAAAATAAAGGATTAAAAAATGAAATTTATATGCTTTTACTTGCAAAGTATTACAGCATGCGCAATGTTCAAATGCTAGCATACTTATAAATGCATAAAAATCCGTAGTTTATTATATCCGAATATTCTTTTACACATACGCTGTGTTTATCGTCTCCAACCATTGTTGTAGGTACGAGTGCGCAATCATGCTAAAATGGTAGACTGTTACTTGACAACATATTACAATCACAAGACGTTTTTCGGAAACAAAAAGGAGATAAGCGACAAGATTATCGAGAATCCTCAAGATTACCACATATACGAGGGCTTGAGCACTCTGAAAAATATATCGCGCTACGATTTACCGGATCCGGACGTTTACCGAGACTTCTTCCGGTTAAATCCGCTATACGACTTTCCGCTGCTGAGCTCCACGTGCACTTACTTCCGTGGATGCCCGATCAACAGACTCGATGTCGCGATCGCCTACGATCTGCCGGAACTCGTGGGCAAATACAAGAAATCAGTGGAGCAGGTCATACACGAGTACGAGACGAGTCCCCCTAGTTGAGTATTCGATCAGACATTCTGAGACAAAGCTCTTGATGCCGAGTACGGGGTGAGAGCGAATTGTACAAAACACGAAGAGTAATGAAGTGAGAAGGAGAACGCTAGTGTAAGTTCATTGCGGTACAGAGAACTTTTCTTTCCCAGCTGAAAACAGAAACTACGTAGTAGAGTTGGATCGCCGTTAGAAATCCAACCGGATATTCGGACGAAGAGAAGGGTCTGCGAAAACCAAACAGAAACTCTCCTCAGAAAACTATTAATGCGCGACGACGTTTCAAAGGCGAGAAGAGACACAAGTAAGTAGGTACCTATTCTCGGAGCGAAGATATGCTGTAGGTAAACAACGTTTTGGTGACACTACGAGGCAAACAATTCGTCACCGATGGTACGCTTGACTCGAGCTTAAGAATATTAGTGGGGACGAATTGTGAGTTGGAAGGCAGGACGAGAGTTGCCATTCCGACGAAAGAGGAAGGGTAGTGAGTTTTTTCCCTCGGATGTGTTCCGGAAAACGTATCAGAAAAAGACGATGGGTCCTATCGTCGGTCACACCGATGCGAAACTACAGTGAACTCGCGCGATAGACTTTTTTTTTGAAACTTAGTGTGTAATGGTTGTGCTAATTATAGTACAACGCTGTGACGTGGTCAGACGTCGAAACGACACGCGTCGACGTAAAACATATTATAAGTATGTAAAATAAAATACATAAAAATGTTTCCATTGAGAAAGAGATAGGAATGATCTCTTTTTGAGGCTTTTTTGTGAAATACCTTGTATAAACGAATTGTGTTCTTATTAAAAGTAATGAATATTTATTTAAAAAGAGAGAATCATTAGTCAGTCATATGATAATAACTCCCTATGTTGATACGGCGAATAATATGGTAAACGACATTTGAAATGTAAATGATTATATTGTTTGTTTTAGTAAAAAATTTGATTTTTAATGTACCCTGTATATGTTAAATGCCTCATATGAATCATTAATCGTTTTCAGTGCATTGTGTTATTAATGTTCATACGTGTGATTGATATTATTATTATCTCAGTTACTATTACTTCAATTAAGTTAAGTGCCGAAGTTTTAATAGACTTAATTTATGTATTTTTCAAATAGGAATATATATATATTATATTTGCCATTTGTGTAAACGTGACATCTCGATCCCAAATACAAATCATTTACAAGAAGTAAGGAATAATAAAATTTAAAATAGAAGACATTAAACGACAGGAAACTTAGAACTAATTTAAAATGAGGATTCGTAATTGATGTTTCAACATTGAACATAGCATGCAATTTTTAGTTTAAAGAATTTGATGAAAGTACTTACGTTCGGTGTAACTTCTCGTAGCCACTCGTCAGCCTGCTCGTCGAAGTCGAATTTACAAGCGAGCCTCAAATTGTTGGCTGCCGCTTCGAAGTTGCCAAGCAAATGATAGGCCCGTCCCCTAAATTTGTGTGCTGCTGCGCTGTCCGGATTCAATTCCAAGGCTCGATCGCAATCACGAATGCAAGCGTTAGGCTTATTCATTAACAGAAACACTTGGCCACGCTTTGCATAGAGCAGTGATGCTTGTGGATTTAACAAAATTGCTTCTGTATATAATTCTATAGCTTTCTCGTAATCTTTCTCTACAAATGCCGATACTGCCTCTGCCCGCTTAGCTTGAGACTCGGCTATTTCCTCTTCTGTCGGTTGCAAAGTGGGATTGCCCATTTTCTGATTTACATCTGTATCTGGCTCTGATATATATAAAACATTCATAGTTAATTATAGATTAATGAAACAGTATTCAAGCAAGAACGACAAAAGGATTTAGGCATACCGACTACTCCAGTCATATCGAGTTCAAGATCACTTTCTTCGCTTTCTGGCTCTGGTTCTGGTTCTGGTTTCTCAGATGCCGTTTCCTTTGGTTTTTCACGTGTTGACTCATCTTCTTTTGGTATATTTCCTCCAAAATGTTCAACAAATGCTTTTATGAACGAGAACTCTGGTTGATGTAATACCGAAGGATTGACTAGGCACATATCAATGAACGTTTTCAACTGTGTAAGGAGTTCTGGTTTCAATGGAACAGACATCTTGGTATCTGCAAACACTGACAATCGAGTTATGCAAAACGTTCGGCCTAAGAAAATTCCAGTAACCGTGTAAACACGCAGAACAATGGTTATCGTATTTACGTCAAGTAAGTAGAAAGTTGTATAGAAAAATTGGAGCGTTTACTAATGTATTTTAAACTCAATAATAGTATATGGATCCTCTAAAAAAAGATAACGAATTACGGTTGAAATTGTACCGGTAACGAATGAGTTGTAATATCGAAGTTGGATACTTACTGCTATTAGTATACAAGGCTGAACGGCTGAAGCACTGCTGTGAAAAATGCCTCATAGAGACTTCCCCTCTTTTCGCGTTCCCCACCACTATTCCCCTCTTGCGTCTTCGTCATGCTCTTCGCACTAGTGATGACTAGAACTGCTACTTCGAGTCACTCGTGATTCGATCACGTTTGTTCCCAATCACGGTGATTTTTCACAGTGATTCGTGATTTTCGTGATCGCTTCTAATTGGTGTAGAGAGAATCTGCTACTCGCGCAGCGTGCGCTTCACGTGAACTGCGCGCATTTAAAATAATAGATGATAAGGTAGAGAAAAGTGATGAATAGATTAGTAAATTAATTATTCGCAATTACGGTCGTGACAGTATAATCACGACTCGTGATCGTGATTTTGTGATCACCGTGAAAAATCACGGTTAGTGATATTGAACGCCATCTCTATTCAGAAGTAATGTATTTGTTTCGTACACGTAAATTTTAAGCTGAATTTATTCGCGAGAGGTGAATAATAAGAAGAATTGCAATTACTAAATTAATTCTCTGCCGAGTATAACAAATTGCGCAAGACACAGATTCCGACTAATCATAAAGTCTGATACACAATACCGTTCGTCGCTCACACACGATTATTGTGCATCTGCGTAGATGTGTGTCCGCAGAAACATCTGACTGGCTTTGAAAAAGTAAATCGTGGTTGCAAAAGGGAAAAGTAATACGAACGATACGATTTAATTGATATTAAATGTGAACAACAATATAAAATACTGTAGAGCAGTATGTATTTTGAAAATAAACAGTGAGCTTTCAATATTTGGTTGATAATCATACTGTGGATTAAGGTTGAATATTGTAGAATTGTCAGTAGAGTAGCAGATGCCTGTTATTGAGATATTCGTATAAACAAATAAAGATAATGAAGAGATTCATGTGTATTTGTATTTTATTGTACATAACCTTTTATCTGAATTTTCCATTGATTTCTATTTATCGGACTTTCAACCGTGGCAAAATTGTAATTTAACTAAAAAATGCAATAAATAAAAGCTGGCTGTACATACAATTGCTTACGAGTAATAATAACAACAACGACTCATTTATCCCATTATATTTTCTAGCTTTATTATCTTATCACTATGAACTAAATAAATTGCAGTTAAAATCCTCATTATGCTACAGACAAAAATATGATCTAATATTTACAAATGAGGTGTGTAACGTAAGCTTAACAATAAGTCCTCCAAAAATTTGATATTGTATCGACAAGTTCGTTACAAGACGGCACAGTATGTGGACATACCTTATATCATCCACTCTCATTTTAAAAATTATCAACAATTACAAGACGGTTCTTCACAGTTGCACATCAAGTCTACGTCGTAGAAATTACTTTTACTTTTATAGAAATATCCAGCCACGCCGCGCCGCAACATATTATTTTATGCTGTGCCCTATTGTAAGAAATTGGTTTCACCTCTGCGCAACAGATAACAAAACTCTATATATCATTGGATAGCCGTTGGGGCAATCCGTTGAAAAAATTCTAACTCCGTCGTCGTTCAATTTAATAATTGTTCGTCACGCTATTTACATAGTTAATCGTTACCTAAAAGTTAGCGGTAAAATAGATAAACGTCTATCCTACACAGAATCAATGCGGTAGAGATTAATTTTTAAAATGAACATTACAAATTAGAAAGCAGAAGGGGAACTCGAGATGCCTGTTCGTAAATCCAATATCGTTAGAATAAGAAATGAAGATGTCATGTACACAGTTAATATGAGAGTATCCTTGCGTGAATGAATATGGTATTTTTTTTTTCTCTTTATCACTATATGATTCCTCGTTTAGAAACGTTTACCATTGTCGCTTTTATGGCATGATAATACTCCTTACTCTATGTTACATGTATGATAAGATATTTGACTGCGTTTTAAATGATACAATTACATAGAGACGCTTGGCAAAAAGTAACGGTAAGTCTCGTTCAGCAAACGCGAACACAAGAGGGATGTGTGAGATATCAAACAATTGTCATTCACCATTGCTCGTTCTTAGCGTTTTCCTATTACATTCAGACAAAATTAACACGCAGGTAAATTAATCGTCGATACAAGTTTGGTGTTCTCTTCTCTTCTTAAAGAGATCTCAATTCGTTTTTTGTTTCATTTCCTCTTCAAATTATTTTACTTGAATCAATATATGGAAGAATTTGTTAACATCGGCTTTATTAACATAAAATCTACAAAAATTCTTGCGTGTTACATTCCGTTACACTTTCCTTTTTTTTTTTTAACTTTAGCATGCTGTATCACCTGTTCCACGATTTTACACGCATCGATAATTTAAATTATGATAATAAATAGGATAGTTTTCCAAATAATATATTTACCATTCGCCATATTCTATGTAGGACGGCCAGTTGAAAACGTTTTATACATCTCCTTTTGATCAAAGGATTAAAAGATTTTCCTTCCTTTTCTTTTACCTCGAAACCATTTCCTCCGAGAGTAAATCAAACATTTGATTGCGTAAATTATTCTCCTCGTTAATAATGAAAGGAAATAAGAATTCAGAGCAGGAAGAAGGAAAGAGAAAGCGATTTAACGATTGCATTTTCAGCAATTAAGCTCAAAATTATTAGACGAGTGTTCTGTACTCATATCTTTCTCTTTTACCCTTCGAAAACAATTTTCACGAATTCGCGCAATCCTAAGTGTTCACAAGTACGCGCGTACATTTATGTATCGCGTGAATAGAAAAGCTTTCGCCTACAAAAATACTGTCCTCATCAAACTGCATGGATAAAACGTGAAATCAATAAAGGGGATTATTTGTCACATTGAAGAGAGTACAGAGAGTTGTCAGAGAATAATTTTGTACACAGCAACAACATCGCCGTTTGGTTCTAAAGAGTTTGAAAGTGTCACGCGCGAAATTTGTTTTTCACGGGTCTCGAGTAAAATCATTACATTCCGATTTCCGTATAAAATTATAGTTCGCTTTGTACACTTTATTATCATTCTTCATCTCATTCTTTTTGCATTTTCTCTTTGTCGTTAAATCGTGAACGTCAATAAAGACCGTGTGACTTTGCCTATCTGCGTTTGTGTGTATCGGATCACAAAGGTGTGTTCGCTAAAACTTTTCCTCCAGCTATGACGTATATTATTTTAATTACAATTGTTTCACCGAATACGATTAGATCGTAACGTAACTGTGATCGCGATATTTTTAACATCGAATAACACGGAATACGATTTCTCTTCGTTAACGCGGTTCAAGTGGGACGATTAATTAAAAGGAGGGCAGGGAGGGTAGTGAAGTGAGGGGTGGGGTCGACTTCAAATCCAAAGGTAGATAATTTGGAATGTTTACGCGCGAAGCTCCTCTTTGGGTCGAAATCCTCTTTTGACGAGGGTCGTTTTGTGTATCATTTTGATTTCGCTAGATGATGCGTTCACAACGATCTACCTTGCCGGAGCAGCGATAAAATTATATTTATATTTCTCGTATAATCACTATCTGGAGTATCGTGGCATTCTTTTTTCTTTAAATATACATTATTATCGTTTCGTTGATCCGCCAATATCCTCTTTCGCGATCGATAAAATCTGTCTGACTAGCGATAACAATGCTCTAAATCTGATAGATGAGAAATGCCGATGCGATGCGTTTGATTAAGATTAACATGAATTGATTACGGCTTTCGATTCGCGAACGAAGAATCTCCTTTGGCTTATGAAATTTAATCTATTTCAGGCCTCGTCTTCCTTGCCTCAATTAAATATAATGACACAGAGAAGAGACCGTTTAGCAGCGGAGTCATGCTCATTCCGTACCAACTTGTAACTCCGGCCTCGGCGTTTCCTCGTTTTTCACGTTAGGCAACGAAAACCTGTAATCAGCTCATATCTAGATGAAAATGACGGTGACGATCGTCCGCGAACCACGTATCATAGAGTTCGCATCGTAACCGGTGCTAACTAGCTGTAATAGTTGGTCGGTCACGATGCACGTGTGACGGCGTCCTCAATGAATAATCAAGAAAGAAAAAGAAACGTTTTGTACGTCGGGTTGCACGATGGTATCATGTTATTACGCGCGCGGTTTGCTCGGGAAAAACGCGTGTACAAATAAACCTATGATTTGATTCTTAACCGCTAGAAATTTTGATATGATGTAAGTATGTGTAAGTTTTTAATATTCCTCGTAGACTGTTTACCGTTATTAATATTATCGTTATTATTAATATTACCGTTATTACTTGTTTGTTGTATTTAAGAATACCATTTTATTTTATCATCTTTCTCGTTTAAACAGCAAATAGAGTGAGGCGTATAGTTTTTATATATAATACACTATTTAAGTTCATTCCATTTTTATTTCTTTTTTTCTCTTTTTGTAAAGTAATCCCTCTTCTCACGCGATCTCTCGGAGTCCGATTTGTCCTCCTTTATTTTTCTGCCCCCTTTCTCTCTCTCTTACTCATCACGTTTCGCGCTGATAGGTGCGACAGAGTGTTCATTTTTTCTCATTCCGATTGCATTGGTGTGAGATCATCTTTATATTACGGCGAACGGAAACGAGAACAAAGGTCATCGATGTTCAGAGAGAAAAAGACGGGAGTCGTGGCCGATGGCGTGGGTGTTAACAACCTTGAAAATATCTCTTTTTCTTTATTCAGAAAACTGGTTCGTCGTCGATAGTTCTTCTTCCCTAATCGGAACGCTTCCACTTCCTTTTTACGTGTAGTCTACATCGCGCCGCAGCGTTCAAAAATAACTGTTACGACAGACGAGGTGAAATTTCGAACGATATGCTCGAAGAAAGCTGGCAAGTGTTTAGATAAAGGGCAATTTTTCCGATTTCAATGAAGTTCTAATATGTTGTAAGGAGTCACGTTCCAACAACGTATTAAAAATATAAACGGAATATCGGGGAAGTTGCTCTCTATCTGCAGATTCACCGAAAACTGTCCCTACCAACTTCGAGGTTCGTTCGCTCAATCCGCGTTCACCTCGCGTTTCGTCAGTTTTCTCTATCTCTTCAGCGAGACTTTAAAGTAATATTGTAACGTCAAAGGAACTGTACAACAAGCTTATTACAGAGCGAGTTCTTCCTTCCTCCCTTCTTTCCAATACATGCATTTTTTTTACCACGACTTAATAATCGAATGAATGTTGGCGTAGGATTAATAACCCAGTGTTTAGTATTTGGTAATTAATAGTTGCGTTAATTGAAACGCAATGATCGTATCTGCTTCTGATAGTCCACGTGTTCTCCTGTATCTACGTGATGTGTTTATTCGCAACTCTTTTAACTTACTAGCTAAACAACTTGTTACTTTTATAAACAGCATCCGTTATACATAGATTATCTATGCCTTAACGATACTCAAGAAGATGAAAAATAGGGAGAAGGAAAGTGATGGTAAAGGAAATATGAACAAAGAACGAAGGCAGCGACGAATCAGTAGATAAAATGCTAAATCATAGCGCTAGCCATTCCCATAAACCTATCGTCGTATCTATACGCATTCGAGATGCCAGAATCGCAAACAATCTCATTATTCCTGTAAAAAAAGAATCTATTTACTCGTGTGTTTGAATATAAGATTAAAAAGCTGGATAAGAAATGCTGCACACAGTAACAACATTATCGTCTTTAATCTTATACATCTCCTCGAGACGCTATCTCGAATTTTTCAATGACACTTAACGGCACGATAAATATCTTCTTTCTTCAATTTTCTTTAAATTTCAAAGATTCGAAAGCAAATTGTACGGAACATTTCGAATTAACAACAACTCCGTTCATATTTAACTTTTTTGGAACACACTTTTTGTCAGAGAAAACAGTTCTAATCGATTGTTGTTCAGAAATATTTTTTAAATATGATGCACAGGTTTATGAGTCAGGCAGATACCGATCCATCTCGGACTGTGCAAGGGACGCATTGTCCATCGATGTTCTGTACGACAATAAATTAAATAAACGTCCAACGATATCGCTCGTCTTACGATGAATTTCGCTACATATGAGAACATTACATATATATATATATATATATTATATACACGTGTGTTATGCATTGGTAAGAGTCATAGTGTCATAGTACATTATACAGTAGCATAGTTGAGTATAGAATAGGCTACAACTTATCATAAAACGTGTGTGGTTTGGTTGGACCTAATCTAATAATAATAGATATAATAGTACTAATAATAATAATCATCATCATCGCCATAATCGGATACTTTCGCCTATAATGTTCGAATTGTTAGTTTTGGGTCTACGAATGATTTCTAGGCCCGATCAATTAAAAATGGACGGGTGGAAACAGAATAAAAAGGAAGAGCGCGGAGTGATGTAGTCAAGCGAAGGTTCGAAGAAGAAGGGACGTTTGGGGCAAAGGGAAGGGAGAGAGCGGGGAACAACGGTGGAAAAGAAGTGGAAACGAAGGAGCTAACAGGAGATATATTTGAGATTTTATTTAATCATAACTACCATTAGAGATCCAATGTTCTGTTTTCTCCTCTCTGTAATCTTATTCCGGAAATACTAAACTCTCGAAGTGGCGTCATAATATTACTTTAAATTCACGATAAAGTCTATCCTGTGTATGAGAGTTTAACTGCGTGTCAACATGTCTCATACCATTATATATATATATATATATATATATAATTTCATATATATATAATATATAATTTTAATATAATAGTATGTATAATATATAATTATATTCACTACCTGCATATATCACAACATAAATTTATCTCTCTCTCCCTCTCTCGCTCGCGCGCTCTCGTTCTCTCTCGCTCTGTCGATCTCTCAAACGCGACACATTCATTCGTACGTTTAAACATACACGCGGATTCCGTCTACAATAATAATTACTATTTAAACGCTGCAGTATAGTCGGATAGTGGTTGAGTTTCTAAGCATCGTGTAGCGCCGTTCGAGGAGAGAGCTTTCGAATTATCGCCCGCGAAACCGTTTCCTGTAAGTGCTAATCTCCTGCGACGAACAAATTTACCTTACTTTTCTTTTTCAACAAATGGTGTTAATTACCAAGAGTCGAGGCCCTCCGATCAAGAACCCCGACGTCCCTCGAGACGCGTAACTTCCCCTCCCTGGAACACGGCGAAGGGCTAAACGGCGATGTCTGTGTCTCGACTCTTGTCGTTACGCGTTCCCTACGCCTATTACTTGAACGAGGTCATCGATATCCCCGAAAACGAGCTCTCCTGTTGCGAGATTGCTCGCAAATAGATTTCCAGTGCAAACAGACTGAGTACGTATCTACCAGCGAACAAAACAAGATACACAGCTCTTTATGCTTATATGGTTCGCCATCGCTTGGTTCTGGTCATGAACTTTTTTCGGGAATAAGATGTACAGGCGTTTGTCACAGAATTTCAATCTATAATTTTTACTTTGCTCTTTTTACACAAAAGGTGAAACGACATGGGACGACGATAACGATGTTCGAATTTGTTCACCTGGGACGGCGGACAACGTGTTTTCGTTGTTTCAGCGTGCGCCACGGGCGAACAGACGTAAAACTTGTTCTTGGCTTGGCTCTTTCTCTCGTTCTCTTGTATTCTTCTCTGCTCCGTTTTAATTAATGCGAATCGGCGAAGAGGGTGCGACAACTTGATTTCTTTTTTCTCTTTTTTTTTCCTTTGCTACACTGCTCACGAGGCTCAGCCACTAACAATGATACACCGGCATCGAAACCTTAGAAACCATGGCTCAGCTTTGAAGAACGTGGGAGCTGGCTCTCATACGGAACGACCTCAAAATATATCCAGGGCAGCCGACGTTTTCTTTAAAGTATGCGACAGGAAGCTGAGCAGCAACTACTCCCTCCGCCTTTACTTTTTTGCCTCTGATCTGTAACAGAGAATTATACGTCCCGTTATTTCTATCCTAACAGTAAGACGACACGGGAGCCCTTTCTTACTCGTTACTCATTTTTCTTAGACACTTTACCCCGGTTGCTTCAGTTAATTTAGAGCTCGGACATTCGAGAATTCAATTTATTTCCAATCTACCACATTTTACGGAGTAAAACGCTTAATCACTTGCTATAATTCATACTGATAAGGCTATACGTTACTGCGGATGCCACGAAGAATATAAAAGGACATAGGAACAAGGAGCACGCGAACGAGCTGTATATTTAAATCCCGCGTTACGCAGCGTGACACGTGCGTTTCTAAATATTACGTTTCCGTTGCTGCCGGTCGCGATTCTTTTCTGCGTACACGAAAGGACCGCTGTCCTCGACTTCCGTCAGCGGATCGTAAACTGATCCAACCTTTCATTCTAAAGTAGGAAACACGGGATTAGTAACTTGACTTGTCTATGGCATAATGAATGCACTTATTTCGTCAGGGACAATGCGACGTAAACAGTAATTAAAATACCGTGGCAATAATAATAATAATAATAATAACATTAGATAATGTAAAATTAGCTGTTAGAATAGTATCGTGAATAATATATCAAGATTTATACATAGAAGTACCGTGAATTTTCGCTCGAGATTTCCCTTTCGAGTTCCTAGTTGGGGGAATGGCAATGAGTATCTTGGATGCGTACTGTCAAACTTTGGATTTTGGATATCTTGAACAGGATTTTTATTGAGGATTTTGTTAATCGAACTCGTGGTAGAGGATGTGTTCGGGCTGGATATGCATGTGCTCACCGTTAGGTAAAAGACCTGCAATTGTTAACAGATTGAAGACTTATAGTTATGGTCGTGTTCTTGTGAATTCTTTATTGTATACATGAGATTACTTTTATGCTATATAAATTTAAATCATAATTTATTCAGAGTCCTCCTGAATGATTAAAAGAAATATAACGTTTGATTAAGAATTTTCTAACAAACTTCTAATACTGAAATTTATTATTCTTATCCATTGCATTAATAAAATTATGATCAATAATGAAGCTCAATTACGTAACAAATATATCATTTCCACAGTTTTAAACGCGAAGACTGTTCCATTCAACAAAATGAATTTTAATGGTGTAACTGCAGATCGAAACCGTATCGCGAATCTCGAATGAGTTACGCAATCGACGTTGCGCATCTTTTCCTTGCGTAACGTCGAACCTAATTACCGTCGACAATGGTCGGTTAAAAAGCGTTCTGGAAATGGACACGGAGCGAGAGAGCAGCGGGAGTGCGCACAAATTTGCACGAGGAATGGGAAATATCGTTGTTATCTTGAGTGCGCATCCGACGCATAGAATTAAGTTAAAAAGATTAACGTACACGTTTGGGAAAGAAAAACAATGTACTCGAGCGTGTGCAAACATCGTTGCATGTTTTTGCCACCGGGCACGTGAATCGTGTACGTTGAAATTAAGTCATCGCATACTCACAGCCCTTCTTTCGCGTTGGGTCGTTTCGACCCTTCCGGTATACGCAGGATGAAGCAATAAAAATAATCTTACAATTACCTTTCAAGCTGAGAACTCAGTATTTTTCAGATAATTCTAGTTGCGAATGAAAATAGTACAAACTAGATATACAATTTGATATATTAGATTATTGCATACAAACTGTCCAGAGTTTTACAGTGGCTACAAAGAGTATTTGTATATATTTTAAAACGGAATAACTCTTTTCATATTGGACCAAACAATAGAATCTTTCGTGCTAGAAGACTTAATTTACTACGTAATGTGTAATAAAAATTTGTTGAAAATTCTTACTGGTCGGAATTGTGAAATTTGCGTTTTTTAACTTGTTCAAAAGGGTTTGTAATAAAAATTTGACACATTTCGTTTTTAGATCTAAGTTGTATGCACGTACAAAGTTCCATAAAAATCGTTTAATGCTGCTATGAACTACAAGCAACTAAAAATTTTAAAAACTGCAGGCTTTCATGACTTCTTGCCTACAACTGAGATTAATTAAAGCAAATTTTTTATGCTTTTCATCGGTTTTTATGAAACTTTGCACGTGCGTACAACTTGCTTACGGGAGGTAATCTACAAACGGGATATTTCCAATGTTCATTAGAGATCCGAATGGAAAAGTTGCGAAACGCGATATTTACTTTTTTTCGCACTGTTTTTTCATACATCACATAATAAACTAAATCTTCCAACATCCCAGAAAAACTATCTTGTTTGGACCAATGTGAAAAATATTATTCATAGTCACTGTATATTGCAGCAAACATTTCGTATGTACGCACGTAATACTTTTCCTTTAACGAATTTCTGATCGGTGGAACGAGCCACACGTCTCTACTTGGGTACGATCGTTCGAATTGAACAGTGCTCTGACATGTTGGCTCGGAACACAAAGGGTCTTTTATTTGAGCCTCGCAGGAGAGGGTAAACAG